TCTGCTCTCCTTTTGCACTCTCTCACCACTCTCTTTACCTTTCTTTTACTCTCCATATATTCTGCTCTTCTTATAACACTTCTGCTTTGTAAAAACCTCTCATAAGCTACCTTTTTCTCTTTTATCACACCCTTTACTTCATCATTCCACCAATCACTCCTCTTTCCTCCTGCACCCACCCTCCTATAACCACAAACTTCTGCCCCACATTCTAATACTGCATTTTTAAAACTATTCCAACCCTCTTCAACCCCCCCATTACTCATCTTTGCACTATCCCACCTTTCTGCTAATAGTCGCTTATATCTCGCCCGAACTTCCTCCTCCCTTAGTTTATACACTTTCACCTCCCTCTTACTTGTTGTTGCCACCTTCCTCTTTTCCCATCTACCTCTTACTCTAACTGTAGCTACAACTAAATAATGATCCGATATATCAGTTGCCCCTCTATAAACATGTACATCCTGGAGCCTACCCATCAACCTTTTATCCACCAATACATAATCTAATAAACTACTTTCATTACGTGCTACATCATACCTTGTATATTTATTTATCCTCTTTTTCATAAAATATGTATTACTTATTACCAAATTTCTTTCTACACATAGCTCAATTAAAGGCTCCCCATTTACATTTACCCCTGGCACCCAAATTTACCTACTACTCCCTCCATAACATTTTTACCCACTTTAGCATTGAAATCCCCAACCACCATTACTCTCACACTTGAGTCAAAACTCCCCACGCATTCACTCAACATTTCCCAAAATCTCTCTCTCTCCTCTACACTTCTCTCTTCTCCAGGTGCATACACGCTTATTATAACCCACTTTTCACATCCAATCTTTATTTTACTCCACATAATCCTTGAATTAATACATTTATAGTCCCTCTTTTCCTGCCATAGCTTATCCTTCAACATTATTGCTACTCCTTCTTTAGCTCTAACTCTATTTGAAACCCCTGACCTAATCCCATTTATTCCTCTCCATTGAAACTCTCCCACCCCCTTCAGCTTTGTTTCACTTAAAGCCAGGACATCCAGCTTCTTCTCATTCATAACATCCACAATCATCTCTTTCTTATCATCTGCACAACATCCACGCACATTCAGACTTCCCACTTTGACAATTTTCTTCTTCTTATTCTTTTTAGTAATCTTTACAGGAAAAGGGGTTACTAGCCCATTGTTCCCGGCATTTTAGTCGACTTTTACAACACGCATGGCTTACGGAGGAAAGATTCTTATTCCACTTCCCCATGGATATAAAAGGAAAATTAATAAGACCAAGAACTATTAAGATAAAATCAAAGAAAACTCAGATGAGTGTGTATGAATAAATGTGTATATGTATGTGTAGTGTGACCTAAGTGTAAGTAGAAGTAGCAAGACATGCCTGTAATCTTGCATATTTATGAGACAGACAAAAGACATCAGCAATCCTACCATCATGTAAAACAATTACAGGCTTTCGTTTTACACTCACTTGGCAGGACGGTAGTACCTCCCTGGGTGGTTGCTGTCTACCAACCTACTATCTGTTTTCATTATTCCCCGAACTGCATGCCACCCTGTCTGGTGTGCAGGGCAGGGCCAGGCTGGCCTGCTTGCCTGGCTGGTTAGGTGGGCTGGCTGGCTGTCTGCCTGTCACCAGACCTCACCAAGCATTCCTGCCCCACCTCCCTCCCTCTCATCATCACATCTTATCAGCCACTGTCAGGTCCATTACTGTTCCTATCCTAATCAGTTTTTAATTTTATTTTAATATGAAATGCAAAGACGCGTTGCTAGGGTTGGTGTCGCCTGGGGCAGAATCTTTGGTATCACCCGGGGTGGCATCTTTGGTGTCACCCCCATGAAATCCAAGGGTGGGGGGATAGGGGTAGTAAACTCCAGTTACATCACTGCTGCATGACCAGTGACCAATGTTTAGCAATGAGAATGTTTAAAGGCCATAAACCAAACTTTATTAATGATAAAATAAATAATCATAGTAATATTGAAGAAATATAAACTCAAATACCACTTTGAGTATAGGCAACAGATCCTACATTTATTTATCTTCAACAATGAAAAAAAAAATTTTGAAAAATAAAAACACTAGTTCCGATTTAACCTCGAGTACAGGTAACGTCTCAAAGAATCTGACATTTCATTTCCTTGCCTTCAATCCTGCAAAATCATCTATCACATCATCAAAATCAATGATTTTCCCTATATAGGCCTATTTGTACTCTGTAATCCCATAACAGGCTATATAGAAACGAAGGATTTTTCTCTTAGGTTGCTGCAGCATGGTTTTGGTCATTAGTGTTACCTTCTTTAGAGGCTCTATGGTGTCACCCCTTAAATGGTGTCACCCGGGGTGGCCCGCCCCCCTGCCCCCCCTTATGACGCCCCTGAATGCGAACCTTGGTTGCATCGGAAAATACGTACAAATGCATTTTATCGTTCAGTTTATTATGTGGAGAGAAAGGGTGAGTGCAGTAAGCAAGTGATACCTCTCTGCAACCCCCCCCCCCCAATCTACCATTCCTCTCACACACAGCCATCTATCATTCTTCCCTCTCCCACCACACAACCTGACCTGTACTAGATCTAAATACATCATGTTAGGTAAAAGAACACATGTGCAACTAATGTGACATTTTACTGTGGTAATGTTCTGCTCTCCAGGAGCTTTGTCAAGCCATTACCAAACACGTTGTCAGTAATTCTACTAACATTATTACAACTTTACGGCACATAAATAGTCTACATCTCTACCAATGCTTGCCTGGTTCCATGCATGCCTGCCTCCATCCATGCCTGACTGCCTGCATGCGTGATAATAGCTATTATCCCAAACGTCTTTAGAGAGGCACACAAACACAACATCAGGAACAAGCTCATAAATACACAAACAACATTCAGGAATCTATGGGAAGACTTATTCAATACATTCTCTTGGCCAAGTAGGCCCAAGTCAACCCTCCCTCACACTCTTTCAATGTTTCAAGTAATGACTAGCAGAATGTTAGGGTAAAATAAAGTGCAGTAATTATTACTTACCGTAGTACAATATTAAAATAATTTATTTACAAATACTGAGGTGTCCAATGAATAATATACAAGTGTAGTAAAACCTAGGAATCTTTATTGATGGATATGTTCCCCAGGCAGTGTTTTTTTTTTTCAATCCAATACAGACAATAAATACTGGAGATTGGACTGAAAATGCTACTGGCTGGCAAAATGTATACATCAATACACTAAGGTGTTATACATTCATACTGTTCATCAACTTTTCGGTATTATGTACCATTATTTTAGTGGCGGTATCTGGAATGTAACCTTATTTTTCAAATGTTCTTCACTTCACATTAAAACTAATATTCATTGGGTGCTGATTTTCATCAATATACCTCGTGCATTATGACAGGGTTTCCTGTACCATATATTACTGATCATAAGACAGAAAGATGGCATACTTACACTCAAATATCATATTTTTTGCATAACCCAGGTAAAGGATGAGGTGTATTTTTAATCCTCACAGATGGAATTAAATCACTTTTTTTCTGCATCACAATGAACACAAAATATTTTCTATTCCATACATGTGCAACATGTGAGAGATGATGCAAATGTATGGAATAGGTGGAAGATTACTTAGAGCAGTAAAGAGCTGTAGTAGAAAGTGAGGCACAGGTTAGGGTATGTAGGATAGAGGGAGATTATTTCAGTAAAAGTAGGTCTTAAACAAGGATATGTAATGTCACCATGGTTGTTTAACATATTTACAGATGTGGTTGTAAAAGAAATGAATGCTGGGTGTTAGGGAGAGGTGTGGGATTGAAGGATAGTCAATCTAGTGTGGAGTGGGAGAAGTCACAGTTGTTTTTTGCCAATGACATGGCTCCCTTGAGAGACTCAGAGAAGTTGCAAAGATTGGTAAACAAATTTGGGAGGGTATGTAAAAGAAGGAAATTAAAAGTAAACTTAGGAAAGAGCAAGGTGACGAGAGTGCAAAAGCATACAGGCAATGAGAGACTGGATATTAGATTGGAGGAAGAGAGTATGGAGGAAGTAAATGTTCTCAGATATTTGGGAGAGGACTTGTTGGAGGATGGTTCCATGAAAGATGAGGTGAACCATAGAACTATAAAATGTAAAAAGGTGGGAGGTGCACCGAGGCATCTGTGGAGAAAAAACTTTATCTATGAAAGCAAAAAGGACAATATACCAGAGAATAGTGGTGTTAACACTATTATATGCACAGCAAGCATGGGTTCTGAATAATGCAGTGAGGAGGAGGCTGGAGGCAGTCAAGATGTACTTTGATGGTAATGTGTAGTGTGAATATTATGCAGAGAATTCAGAGTTTGGAGTCACCAAAAGTATTATTCAGAGGTCTGAGGAGGGATTGTTGAGGTAGATTGGACATTTAGAAAGGGTTATAGAAAAATATGACAACTAGGAGGATGTATAAAACAAGGGTGGAGGGAAAGAGGGGTAGGGATCATCCTAGGAAAGATTGGCAGGAGGGTTTTGAGTGCTAGGGGTTTGGATATGCAGCAGGCTTGCATATGCTTGTTAGATATGAGTGGAGAAAATAGTTTTTATGATTTGATGTGCTCTTGGAGAGTGAGCAAGGCAACATTTTGTGAACTGATTCAAGAAAATCATTTAGCTAGTCTTGTGTCCTGGAGATGGGAATTACAGTGCCTGCACCCTGAAGGATGGGTGGAAATGCTGCAGTTTGGAGTCATCTGAACTGTGACAGTGAAAGTGTTTTTTTTTTTTTCCGTCAGGTCACCCTGCATCAGCAGAAGATGGCCGAGTGTTAAAGAACTATATATATAATCACCATAGTAATCACAGATCTAAACAGGAAGAGGTAAATTACCTATTTTCTCATATAGCAGTCAAGAAGAAAGAAAGAAAGAAAAGAAAAGAAGAAAGAAGAAAGAAAGAAAGAAGAAAGAAAGAAAGAAAGAAAGAAAGAGAAGAAAGAAAGAAAGAAAGAAAGAAAGAAAGAAAGAAAGAAAGAAAGAAAGAAAGAAGAAGAAGAAGAAGAAGAAGAAGAAGAAGAAGAAGAAGAAGAAGAAGAAGAAGAAGAAGAAGAAGAAGAAGAAGAAGAAGAAGAAGAAGAAGAAGAAGAAGAAGAAAAGTTTAACCCTTTGACTGTTTTGGTCATATACATACGTCTTATGCGCCACCGTTTCGGACGTATTAATACGCGTAAATTCTAGCGGCTTCAAATCAAGCAGGAGAAAGCTGGTAAGCCCTCATGTGAGAGAATGGGTCTGTGTGGTCAGTGTGCACCACATAAAAAAAATCCTGCAGCACGCAGTGCATAATGAGAAAAAAACTGACCATTTTTTTGGATTAAAACACCGACTTTGAGGTGTATTTTCATATAGTATTTATCGTTGTATTCTCATTTTCATGGTCTCACATGATAAAATGGAAGACATATTACAGAAGTAGAGATGATTTTGATTAGTTTCACGATGAAAACAACCTTGAAATTGAGCTCGAAGTAGTGGAAATGTTCAATTTTCACCAAAGTTCAAGAGTAAGCAAATCACACCACACGTCCAATACACGTCAACTGGGGAGTCTGATATTCTTTCACTAGTGCACTGATATTATTTATACCATTTTTACAATGGTAAATTTTGTATTTTTTGTATGAATAAAAAATCAAAATAGAAAGCAATAGTAATATAAGAGGGGCCTAGAGACGTTACTAATGAACAGAGGATATGTTATTTTAGTGCCAAGAATGTGTACAATGTTTATTCTGGACCCTATTTTGAAATTGGCATCTTTTTTAATTTGCATGAAATTGGCAAAATTGCCAATTTCTGACCACTTTACTGGGTAGTTGAAATCGGTAAATGGGCAGTTTCTTGTATGCAACTGATAGAAAAAATGGAGTTCTAAAGAAATAGCTATGACTTTGGTCAACCGAAGCAACGGAATTGGCCAAAAACAGGGCTCAAAGTCGGCGAAATCGCCGATACGTATATGTTGCCGAGATTGCTAACTTTGCGGGAGTGTAATTCCGTGAGTTTTCGACCAAATTTTGTACTTTTGGTGTCATTACCATCGGGAAAAGATTCTCTAATTTTGTGAGATAGAATGACAATTTCAGAAAGGGGCTTGCAACAGTCAAAGGGTTAACAAAAATAGTCCTAAAATCTGGTAAAATATTGGTGCACATCTCATTGTTTTACCATATTTCTAAATATGCATTATTGCAATTATGACATTTGATATGATGATGTCATTAGTAATATATTCTTGGGTAATTATTGAAATTTTGGTAATTTTTTATGGATTTTTAATTGTTAACCCTTTGACTGTTTTCGACGTATAAATACGTCTTACGAGCCAATGTTTCTGACGTATATATACTCAATAATTCTAGCGGCTTCAAATCAAGTGGGAGAAAGCTGGTAGGCCCACATGTGAGAGAATGGGTCTGTGTGGTCAGTGTGCACCACATAAAAAAAATCCTGCAGCACACATTGCGTAATGAGAAAAAAAAAACTCTGATCGTTTTTTTGGAATAAAACGCCGACTTTGAGGTGTATTTTCGTATAGTATTTATCGTTGTATTCGCGTTTTCATGGTCTTAGGTGATAAAATGGAAAACATATTACAGAAATGGAGATGATTTTCATTACTTTTACGATGAAAACGACCTTGAAACTGAGCTCAAAGTAGCGGAAATGTTCGATTTTTACCAATGTTCAAGAGTAAATAAATCATACCACACGTCCAATACACGTCAACTGGGGTGTCTAATATTCTTTCACTAGTGGACTGATATTATTTATACCATTTTTACAATAATGCAGTCGTCTGCATAACAGTAAATTTTGTATTTTTTTGTATGAATAAAAAATCAAAATTAAAAGCAATAATAATATAAGAGGGGCCTAGAGATGTGACTAATGAACAGAGCATATGTTATTTTAGTGCCACGAATGTCTACCTTGTTTATTCTGGACCCTATTTTGAAATTGGCATCTTTTTTATTTTGCGTGAAATTGGCCAAATTGCCAATTTCTGACCACCATATTGGGTAGTCCAAATTAGTAAATGGGAGGTTTCTTGTACTCAGCTGATAGATAAAATGGAGTTCTAAAGAAATAGCTATGAGTTTCGTCAACTGGAACAATGGAATTGGCTGAAAATTGGGCTCAAAGTCGGCGAAATCGCCGATACGCATATGTCGCCGAGACCGCTAACTTCGCGGGAGCATAATTCCACGAGATTTCGACCAAATTTCGAACTTTTGGTGTCATTACCATCGGGAAAAGATTCTCTATCATTTCATAAGAAAAAATAATTTTTTTTTTTCAAAAATTGAGCGACATAGAATGACAGTTTCAGAGAGGGGCCTGAAACAGTCAAAGGGTTAAATTGATGAAAACCACCATCTGACATTGTTACAAAATATGTGAAACTTTCTTGCAGACAGGAGGGAGTTTGCTGCAGTGTTTATTGCAATATGAGTTGATATGGGGTGCAGTTGTGATCAATATCTCATGTTAACCCCTTGACTGTCGTAACTCCTAATTATTTTTTCTTATGAAATGATAGAGAATCTTTTCCCGATTGTAATGACACCAAAAAAAAAAAAAACGAAATTTGATGGAAAACTGACGGAATTATGCTCTCGCAAAGTTAGTAACCTCGGTGATATTTACAAATCGGCGATTTCGCCCACTTTGAGCCCTATTTTTGGCTAATTCCATTGTTCCAGTCAACAAAACTCATAGCTATTTCTTTAGAACTCTGTTTTTTCTATCGATTGAGTACAAGAAACTGCCCATTTACCAATTACAACTACCCAATAACGTGGTCAGAAATTTGCAATTTGGCCAATTTCATGAAAATTAAAAAAAATATGACAATTTCAAAATAAGATCCATAATGAACAATGCAGATGTTCCTGGCTCTAAAATAACATTTTCTTTCTTCATCAGTCACATCTCCAGGCTCCTCTGATATTACTCTTGCTTTCTATTTTGAATTTTTATTCAAACAAAAAATAGAAGATTCACTGTTATGCAGACTACTGTAATAATTGTGCAAATAATGTCAATCCATTCATGACTGCATATCAGAATGGCTAGTTGGACATTTATTGCACAATGACATCATTTGTTTACTTTTGAACATTGGCAAAAATCAAACATTTCCCCTACTTTGATCTCCATTTCCAGGTTCTTTTTATAGTAAAACCAATCAAAATCACCTCTATTTCTATAATATGTTTTCCATTCTATCAAATGAAACCAAGAAAACAAGAATACAACCATAAATACTATACGAAAATAGACCACAAAGTCGGCATTTTAATTAAAAAAAAAATGGTCGAGTTTTTTTTTCTCATTATGCACTGCATGCTGCAGGATTTTTTTTATATGGTGCACACTGACCACACAGACCCATTCTCTTACATGTGGGCCTACCAGCTTTCTCCTGCTTGATTTGAAGCCGCTAGAATTTATGAGTATATATACGTCAAACACGGTACCTCGTAAGACGTATATATACGACTGAAACAGTCAAAGGGTTAAAATGAAGTATATTTATGCTATTATTTACATTTTTATTATTTCACCTTTAACGCTTAAACTGTCCAAACGTTGATCTATGTTTTTTCAACATTTGCAAGTACAGTGGACCCCCGCTTAACGATCACCTCCCAATGCGACCAATTATGTAAGTGTATTTATGTAAGTGCATTTGTATGTATATGTTTGGGGGTCTGAAATGGACTAACCTACTTCACAATATTCCTTATGGGAACAAATTCGGTCAGTACTGGCACCTGAACATACTTCTGGAATGAAAAAATATCGTTAACCGGGGGTCCACTATATGTAAAAAACGTAGACCTTCTTTTTTTTTTTTTTTACATTTGAAAATGTGTAAAAAAACATAGATCTACTTTTGGAGCACTACGCATGTGAACGTAGATCTGTTTGGACAGTTTAAGGGTTAAAAGGCTTGATGAAAATAAGTAATTATGGTAAACATCATTAAAATGTAATACAGACAGCAGAATTGAAAAAAAAAAAGGACATATATTGAGGAGTGTAATGGGAAGGCAGTTCAGTGTGTCCTCCTGCTTGTGCATGTACAGTAAGTCTTCACTTAACACTGTTGATAGGTTCTTGGAAACTGTGACTTAAAGCGAAATGATGAACAGTGGCCCCTCGTTTTTCGTAATTAATCCGTTCCTGGAAGTGTGACTATTATCGAAATTGACGATTTTCAAATCCATTTTTCCCATAAGAAATAATGTAAATCCAATTAATTCATTCCAGACACCCAGAAGTTTCAACAACAATATTTTTTTTTTTACTTTAAAGATAGGTTTACATGCACAAAAGAATGAATATTCAACATGACAGTTACCTTTATTGAAAGCTGTTGTTGATGAATGGAAGACAGGGAGGAGGAGAGAGGGGAGGGAGGTTACTGTTTGGAAGGGGAATCCTCCTCCATAAGGACTCTAGGTCACTTCAGGGGTCACTTTCCTAGCTTAAATATAGATTTACATGCAGAAAAGAATGCCAAATAAATGTAAAGCACTAATAAAATGTATAAATGAACACTTAACATCACACTTACCTTTTATTTAAGACTTTTGTTGGTGTATGGCAGAAGGAGGGGAGGCGAGTTTATTGTTGGAGAATATGACAATAATATCAACTCTACGGCTTATTTATCTATCACAATTCAACTAATATGACATAATAAACAATATTAATAACATAGAAACATGGAATATACTCTAGAATGAATAAAATAAGTCATTATGTATGTCACAAGAGGTGTGTTGTGTTGTGTTGTTGTTGGGTGTATAAGGGCCACTGTGATTAAGCCATCCATAATGGTGATGAAGCAGCAGTTGAGGCGGCGGTGTTTTCTGTAGCCCTACATAACTCCAACAACATTGGAGGACTTGGTAGAATCGCTGAATCACTGAAGAAGGCACCCTCTACCACCATCACTAACACCTTCTACCACTATCACAACTGCTACCACCATCACTACCACCTTCTATCACCATCACTACACATCCTCTACCACTATCACAACTGCTAGCACCCTCTACCACCATCACTACCCTCCTCTACCACTATCACAACTGCTAGCACTCTCTACCACCATCACTACCACCTTCTACCACCATCACAACTGCTAGCACCGTCTACCACTATCACAACTGCTAGCACCCTCTACCACTATCACAACTGCTAGCACCCTCTACCACCATCACTACCACCCTCTACCACTATCACATCTGCTTCCACTCTACCACCACCTTCATATTTTTCTACAATCTGTTTCTCTACAATGTGTTTTTCTACAATGTGTTTCTCACATTCTTTACCAAAGGGCTGGCACTAGAAGCTTTCTTTGGAGCCACAGTTGCAAGCACTACAACAAATGGAATATTATGAAATGTATCGTATGAACTCGTGGGATCATCCTCACTCACTGATAAACAATGGCACACTGGCTGGGAATGGAGTGTGAGGTGGCTCGGGGCTGTGTGTACGCGTCCCAGACGAACTGCTATTTGCGAGTCAAACGACAATTCATGAGCCAATGTTTTGACGAAAATAATGTTATGATTTTCAAAAATTATGACTATTGAGCCTTACAATTGTTGAGGGATCACTGTACAAAGAAATAATAAGCCAATTTACCAAAGGCTAGTTTTGTTTCTAATGTCACACTTTTTTTTTTTTGGTGACCACAGACATCAGGGGCACACAGTGAACCTTTAGCACTCATTGCAACAAGGTTAAATCAAGGAATAAATGTCTGCAAAGCAAAAATTGTAAGGAGCACCTCCTACCACCATGCAGTTCTAGAAACAAACAAATATGGCGGGATCGCTGAGTGCTTTCATACTGCATTGTTGATTGTCATGCATTTGTATGATTATCGTATACTTCACCAATTTTTATTTTACATTAATCTGTATCCATTGTGTTCAATTTTTTTTTCTCAATGTTATAATGAAACGACACTGAACAAAGCGATGTTATTCGAGGCCCTCCTATATGTCGCACATATGATGTGCTCACCATGTAGAGAACACTTGAGAAAACCTACACATACAACTGGGAAAATTTCAGAAAACACTCCTTTCTTATGTCTTTACTCATAAATGCTGTCACTCTCTCTCTCACTTTAAAAAAAAAAATATGGATATTTATACAATGGAAACTCTGCTTGTGAGTTTAATCCGTTCCATGACCTTGCTCACACCTGGATTTGCTTGTCTGCAGAGTCAATTTTCCTCATTTAAATTAAATGAAATGGAATTAATCCATTCCAGTGGAATTCTGTACAGTGGAACCTCAAAAATCGAACTGCTCCCAACACAAGCAATTATGTAAGTGTATTTTTGTAAGTGCTTTTATAAGTGTATTTTTGAGGGTCTGAAATGGACTAATCTAATTTACATTATTCCTGATGGGAATAAATTCATTCGGTAAAGGCACTCGAACAGCCTTCTGGACTGAAGAAAGTTCGATATTTGAGGTTCCACTGTACTTCAATAATTTCCCTAATATCAACTCTACAGCTTATTTATCTATGACAATTCATCTAGTATGACATAATAAACAATATAAATAACACAGAAATCTGATATATACTCTAGAATGAATAAAATATGTCATTATGTGACAAGTGGAGGCGGCCATAATCGCTCCCGCATTATTGTGGTATTCACTGCCATCTAGTGACGGCCCTTCGAAGCCGTCTATTATAATTATTATTATAGTATACATTATTATTATACTTCACATGCATTATTATTATTATACTGTACATGTATTATTATTATACATAATATTATTATTATTATTTTTTTTTTTTTAACAAGTCGGCCGTCTCCCACCAAGGCAGGGTGACACAAAAAGACAAAAAATCCCAAAAAAGAAAATACTCTCATAATCATTCAACACTTTCACCTCACTCACACATAATCACTGCTTTTGCAGAGGTGCTCAGAGTACAACAGTTTAGAAGCATATATGTATAAAGATACATAACATATCCCTCCAAACTGCCAATATCCCAAATCCCTCCTTTAAAGTGCAGGCATCGTACTTCCCATTTCCAGGACTCAAGTCCAGCTATATAAAAATAACCGGTTTCCCTGAATCCCTTCACTAAATATTACCTTGCTCACACTCCAAAAGCTAGTCAGGTCCCAAATACCATTTGTCTCCATTCACTCCTATCTAACACACTCATGCATGCTTGCTGGAAGTCCAAGCCCCTCGCCCACAAAACCTCCTTTACCCCCTCCCTCCCACCTTTTTGAAGATGACCCCTACCCCGCCTTCCTTCCACTACAGATTTATACACTCTCCATGTCATTCTACTTGGATCCATTCTCTCTAAATGACCAAACCACCTCAACAACCCCTCTTCTGCCCTCTGACTAAAACTTTTATTAACTCCACACCTCCTAATTTCCACACTCTGAATTTTCTCCATAATATTTACACCACACATTGCCCTTAGACAGGACATCTCCACTGCCTCCAACCATCTCCTCGCTGCAGATTTACAACCCAAGCTTCACACCCATATAAGAGTGTTGGTACCACTATACTTTCATACATTCCCTTCCTTGCCTCCATAGATAACATTTTTTGTCTCCACTTACACCTCAATGCACCACTCACCTTTTTTCCTTCATCAATTCTATGAATTAACCTCATCCTTCATAAATCCATCCGCTGACACGTCAACTCCCAAATATCTGAAAACATCCACTTCCATACTCCTCTTGTCCAATTTGATATCCAATTTTTCTTTATCTAAATCATTTGATACCCTCATCACCTTACTCTTTTCTATGTTCACTTTCAACTTTCTACCTTCACACACTGTCCCAAACTCGTCCACTAACCTTTGCAATTTTTCTTTACAATCTCACATAAGCACAGTATCATCTGCAAAAAGTAACAGTGTCAATTCACATTTTGTATTTGATTCCCCATAATTTAATCTGAACCCATCTATAAATATATTACACAACCACGGTGACATTACACATCCCTGTCTAAGACCTGCTTTTACCGGGAAGTAGTCTCCCTCTCTTCTACATGCCCTAACCTGAGCCTCACTAGCAACATACAAACTCCTTACTGCATTTAGTAACTTACCACCTATTTCATATACTTACAACATCTGCCACATTGCTCCCCTTTCCACTCTATCATATGCCTTTTCTAAATCCATAAATGCAATAAAACCTTCCCTACCTTTATCTAAATACTGTTCACATATATGCTTCAATGTAAATACTTGATCTGCACATCCCCTACTCACTCTACAACCTCCTTGCTCATCCACAATCCTACATTCTGTCTTACCTCGAATTCTTTCAATAATAACCCTACCGTACACTTTTCCTGGTATACTCAGTAAACTAATTCCTCTATAATTTTTACAATCTCTTTTGTCCCCCTTCCCTTTATATAAAGGGACTATACATGCTCTCTGCCAATCCCTAGGTACCTTCCCCTCTTTCATACATTTATTAAACAAAAATATCAACCACTCTTAACACTATATTCTCCCCTGCTTTTAACATTTCTGTCATGATCCCATCAGTTCAACTGCTTTACCCCCTTTCATTCTACATAATGCCTCAAGCACCTCCACCACACTCACATCCTGCTCTTCTTCACTCCTAAAAGATGGTATACCTCCCTGGCCAATGCATGAAATTACTGACTCCCTTTCTTCGTCAACATTTAAAAGTTCCTCAAAATATTCCTGCCATCTACCCAATACCTCCATCTCCCCATCTGTTTTTAACTGAGAAATCCATTCATTCCCTATGCTTTCTTAACTTGTTTAACTCGCTCCAAAACTTTTTCTTATTTTCATCAAAATTTCTTGACAGTGCCTCTCCCACTCTAGCATCTGCTCTCCTTTTGCACTCTCTCACCACTATCTTCACCTTTCTTTTACTCTCCATATACTCTGCTCTTCTTATAACACTTCTGCTTTGTAAAAACCTCTCATAAGCTACATTTTTCTCTTTTATCACACCCTTTACTTCATCATTCCTCCACTCACTCCTCTTTCCTCCTGCACCCGCCCTCCTATAACCACAAATTTCTGCCCCACATTCTAATAGTACTGCATTTTTAAAACTATTCCAACCCTCTTCAACCCCCCCCACTACTCATACTTGCACTAGCCCACTTTTCTGCCAACAGATGCTTATATCTCACCCAAACTTCCTCCTCCCTTAGTTTATACACTTTCACCTCTCTCTTATTTGTTGTTGCCATTTTCCTCTTGTCCCATCTACCTCTAACTCTAACTGTAACTACAAATAAATAATGATGTGATATATCAGTTGCCCCTCTATAAATATGTACATCCTGGAGCCTACCCATCAACCTTCTATCCACCAATACATAATCTAACAAACTACTTACATTATGTGCTATATCATATCTTGTATATTTATTTATCCTCTGTTTCATAAAATATGTATTACTTATTACAAAACCTCTTTCTACACATAGCTCAATTAAAGGCTCCCCATTTTCATTTACCCCTGGCACCCCAAATTTACCTACTACTCCCTCCACAACATTTTTACCCAATTTAGTATTGAAATCCCCAGCCACAAGTACTCTCACACTTGGTTCAAAACTCCCCATGCATTCACTCAACATTTCCCAAAATCTCTCTCTCTCTCCTCTACACTTCTCTCTTCTCTAGGTGCATATACACTTACTATAACCCACTTTTCACATCCAACCTTTATTTTACTCCACATAATCCTTGAATTAATACATTTATACTCCCTCTTTTCCTGCCATAGCTTATCCTTCAAGATTATTGCTACTCCTTCTTTAGCTTTAACTCTATTTGAAACCCCTGGCCTAATCCCATTTATTTCTCTCCACCGAAATTCTCCCATTCCCTTTAGCCAGGACGTCCAGCTTCTTCTCATTCATAACATCCACAATCATCTCTTTCTTATCATTCGCACAACATTCACGCACATTCAGACATCCCACTTTGACAATTTTCTTCTTCTTATTCTTTTTAGTAATCATTACAGGAAAAAGGGTTACAAGCCCATTGTTCCCGGCATTTTAGTTGACTTTTACAACACGCATGGCTTACAGAGGAAAGCTTCTTCTTCCACTTCCCATGGATATAAAAGGAAAAGTAATAAGAACAAGAACTATTAAGATAAAATCAAAGAAAACTCAGATGAGTGTGTATAAATAAATGAGTACATGTATGTGTAATGTGACCTAACTGTAAGTAGAAGTAGCAAGACGTACCTGTAATCTTGCATATTTATGAGACAGGCAAGACACCAGCAATCCTACCATCTTGTAAAACAATTACAGGCTTTCGTTTTACATTCACTTGGCAGGACAGTAGTATTTATTATTTATTACCATTTGGGATTTTTATTCACACAAAATAGAAGATTTACTGTTATGCATACTACTGCATTACTTACAAAAAGTACCTTGAAACTGAGCTCAAAGTAGCAGAAATGTTTGATTCTTTGGAGATGTTCAAGAGTAAACAAATGACGTCACTATATTGAAGGGTGGGTGCTTGGCACCCACCCTTCAATACCTCTCTATATAATGTCAGTTTTTATTAATTTGATCATCTTTATCATACTTCTATGTTATTTATGTTATACCTAATATTATTCTGGAATAAATATGATAGTTAGATAGCCTTTATTGATAGTAATAGTACAATTCTACAATATTTTATAGTGTTGTGAGCTCATACCTCCACATGCCATGGTGAACTATGAGTTGCTGAGACTGCTTGTGCCTACTCTGAGCTCAATTTCAAGATACTGTTCATTGTGAAACCAATCAAAATCATCTCTATTTCTGTAACATATCTTCCATTCCATCATACAAGACTAAGAAAACAAGAATACAACCATAAAAATCAGACGAAAATACACTGCAGTCAGTTTTAAACCAAAAACACTGTCGTTTTTTTTTTTTTCTCATTATGCACTGCGTGCTGCAGGATTTTTTTTTATAATGCACACACTGCCCATGTAGACCCATTCTTTCATATGTAGGCCTACCAGCTTTCTTCCACCAGATTTGAAGGCGTAGAATTTTGGCATATAAATGCAGGACCGACACTGGCTCTCAAGCCATACATATATGGGACCGACCCTTAAAAGATTAAATAACCTGAAGGTGAGCTATTTGGTTATTTACTGAAGGATGTTTTATTTATGAACCAGTCATAATGGCTTTTACACTACACTTTCAGTAGTCATTATTTTAAAAGCCCATGAGCAAATATTTGCAATAGTCCTCAGATTTTTTTTCATTTGTGAGGAGGTGGGGGTTAGAGCAGATATTTTTTAAAAAATTCTGCATCTCCCCTACTTAATTTTTTTTTTTTTTTTGGGTAGGTGGAAAAAAAAGTAGATTATAAAATTTTTCTTTGACAAAAACTTGATTTGCCATTACTCTGTTACATACCAGTAACAAAGCTGCTTTTGCCATTGCAAATATTTGAATAGTAGCAGGTAAGTGTTCCCACATTGCAATTTCTTTCTATTATGTGTGATTCCACTAATCTTCTTGAAACTTATTTTTTAGGCTATTTTTCACACACCTGTAAACTCTTCAAAAAAATTTGGAAGAAATTGAACAAAAAACAGCAAACCAAAAATGATAATACCAAGCCCCTAATCAGAGTTCAAATGAAAGGGAACTGGATACAATGTCAATACAGTATCTACTACATACACAGTGTGCATCAGTTTGGTTGTTAACTCATATATTGTGATAAAGTAATGCACGTGTGAGGTTGGGCTGCTGCTGGTGGCAATGTTTACATAACGGTACTTCCCTCCCTCCCTCTTTCTATCATTGAAAATGTGGGGGAAAATGATATTTCAGATTTTTTAAATCAAATTTTCAACATGAATTAAATAATTTATATTTGTTGAAGCATACTGGCAGTCAGTGGTTTTATTTTTCTTTCATTTAGGTTTCTCTTATGATCATGTGTTGCCATAAACCAATTTAACATAAAAGTTTTGTCAACACACTGGCCATCTTCCACTAAGATAACCCAAAAACAAAAAGACACTTTCACCATCACTCACTCAGTTACTCTCCAGAAGCATGCTCACATCACAGCCCAAGTGACCTCTGAACTGTAGCATCCTCACTCTTCCTTCAAAGTGCAGGCAATGCCTTCCCACCTTGATGGCTCAAGTTTGGCTTACTGGTTTCCCCTGAATCCCTCCATAAATGTTACTTTGCTCATACTCCAATAGCACATTAAATTATAAAAACCACTTACCTTCGATCCTATTTAACACATACAAGCCTGCTGGATATTTAAGCCCCTAGAATTCAAATCCTCCTTTACTCCTTCCTGCCAATCCTTCCAGGAATGACTCCTTACTCCTCCTTCCCACCACCCCAGACTTACATTACCTGGAGTTTACCTGGAGAGGGTTTCGGGGGTCAACGTCCCTGTGACCCAGTCTGAGACCAGGCCTCATGGTATGGGCCAGGCTCTCATAGTCATCCTATTTTACTCTATCCTCTCTAAATGACCAAGACACTGACATTTTGTCCCAGATATGTTCATTGGATTTCCTGCGCATAACTGTTCTGTTTCTAATAATTTTTCTTGTGAATGTCAGTATAAACCAGTTTAAGACTGAGATTTAATCAAGTTTAAAACAGTCCATGTTTGTAAGTCATTGCCCTACCCATGTATTCTCAATATCTCCCTTTCTATCCCCTTACTCTTACATATAGAACACTTAAAACAGATACTTAATGGTAAAAAGGATTATGATGAAGAGCCCCTCGTAGGCATCAAGGGGTTGATTCATAAAAAATATTAGTCTAATACATCATCTGGTATTTTTTTTTAGAAACTTTGCACACCCTCTCTCCCTTCAAAGCCAGATAATGAGTGATTGACTGTACAGTATCTATAAATATATATGAATGGTACAATATCTGGTAATACTGTGAGGAGCTAAACCCTCAGAGAAAACAATAAAATGCTTTCATATACTATATATAAATATTCATATTTCAGGAATAATAAGAGTAAACTGTATACACACTTATCGTTAGCTACCTAAAGCCTTTTTCTTGAGACATGAATATCATCTCAATATTTCAAGTATTATTAAAAATCCAAAGTGAATCAGGTATTGGACAGAAGTTTCATGTAAGGCACAAATGGTGTGTGGGAGAACAGAGGAAGTGATGTACAGTCCTCTCCAGTGTCAACCTGGGAAAGCAAAGTATACTTAAATAATAAAAATTCCGACGGAATATTATATTATGTTTCAAGTGTACAATTATATTTAAGCATGAGACTAATTGTTTATAGGATTTTTATTTCTAATCCAAGTTTATCATCAATAGTTAATATGAAATAACAATGAATAGCCTGAAGAAACTGTCAGAGAAGACATAAATGCCATATACTTTTGACCTACAATAACAAAATATTTTACAAAAGTCAGTTTTCAAGAAACTTGGTAAGTACGTTGAGCAATGGAAGAGAGACCAATTTTGTTTTACAAGAAGCCAAAAAGCAAGGTCTACATCTTTAAATGAACTGCTGCAAAAACAAGCAAACTGATTTTGATGAAATTTAGCAGATGATTAAATGCTGCCAAAGGAAGAACTTGTATAATTCTGGTGAAAATAAGCAGGAGATTATGGTCAGATCTAGGTCAAAATACTTTCTACAGCAGAAGTATGCTTTAAGGAACATCTTTCTACGTTAACATTTTCATAATAACAAAAAAATTTTCTGTTAAAATGTTTCTGGTGTTTCCAAGTTTCTTCGTATGCATTCCTTCATAAAATAAAAAAAAGCCCAGTTTACATTAAAAGGAGAAATTATAATAACCTTTACAAATGTGTGGTCCAGTAGCTGAGCAACTGTTGCCCGAGATTTTGCATCATGAACAAAGCATCTAGCTAAGAACTCATGACCCTCTTCTGAGAGTTGTTTGGGAAGAGTTGGAGACTCTCCCATACCTACCCGGAACATTATCTGCACGCTGCTGTCATATTCTGGCCAGGGTCTCTGTATGAAGGTATTATATAATATTTCAAATATATACAGGGATAAAAAATATTAAAACACATTATACATACAGTACATAGGTTGCTTATAATCATATATATTTTAAAATTTCCAATAAAATTATGTAATTAGTTAAAACACATGTAATATCATAAGAAACTAGTGCACACAGAGTTTAACATTAACCTTTTCAGTGGCCGTCACATTGAACTATGTCACTGAGGCCAGGGTCCCCATGCATTTCACGAGCTCAGATCACTCAGATAAGCTGTGAGCATTAACCCTTTCAGGGTTTCTTATGTACTACTACGTCTTACGTGCCAGGGTTATTGACATACTATTATGCATAAATTCTAGTGTCCTTAAATCAAGCAGGAAAAGGCTGGTAGTCCTAGATGTGAGAGAATGGGTCTCCATGGTTAGTGTGCGCGGTACAAAAAAATCGGGGACCCAGTGGTGCATTGAGGGAAAGCCATTTTATTACACCTTGTTCACCATGTCTAGTGCTAAGAAACTCCTCACTCCTTGGCTAATTGGGGCTCTTTTGTTCCCAAGTGACAGTTCAAACACAGATGGAAGTGTCAGTGAAGATGAATTTCATGGTTATGAGGAGTTTGTGACCGAAAGCAATGCCCAGGAAACCTGAAGGAAGGAAGGAAGGAGGAAGGTAGGAAGAAAGGGAGGAAGAGATGAGAAGAAGAAAGGAAGAGATGAGAGGAAGGAGGGAGGGAAGGAAGGGAGGAAGGAGACCATCAACCTAGGATAACCCAAAAAATTCAGACTGACTTATTTCCATGTGGGTTGGTGGGGTGAAGAGGAAGTAGACAGGCAGTGAGAGTGGTGAGTGATGGTGGTATTTGTCATTGTGACGAGCTTTACAGAAGCTGTAGCAGTTCTGGGAAGTGTCCAGTGACTTTATATGTGTACATATGTGATAGAAAAATAGTAATAAACAACATTTTTTTATTGTTGATTTGTGTAAACATGTTTTGTAAACAATATAATGACAATGTTTGTGCTGTTATTGTGTAGCATACAACGAGTGAATATACATACAATATACCTTATATTGGTCTCACAGGCCATAAAAGTTACTTGAAGGAAGAAAGAAAGAAAGAAAGAAAGAAAGAAAGAAAGAAAGAAAGAAAGAAAGAAAGAAAGAAAGAAAGAAAGAAAGAAAGAAAGAAAGAAAGAAAGAAAGAAAGAAAGAAAGAAAGAAGGAAGGAAGGAAGGAAGGAAGGAAGGAAGGTAGGTAGGCATGAAGAGATGAGGAAGGAAGGAGGGAAGGTAGGAAGGAAGAAAGGAAAGAGGAAGGTAGGTGTGTCGGGAGGAAGGGATGTGTTGTGGAAGGCAGTGAGTGTTATTGAGTGGTGGTATGATGCATCTTTGTGACACAAGACACACCGGTGCCTCAGCATATTTACAAGTCCACCCCCACACAACTACAAACTTTCAGAACCTCTTGTAGTTATAAGAACTTGTCCAGTGACTCTATATGAGTATATATATAATAGAAAAATAGTAATAAACAACATTTTTTATTGTTGGTTTATGTAAACATGTTTTGTAAACAATATAATGACAGCAAAGTTTGTGCTGTCATTGTGTAGTATACAATGAGTGATATACCAAATAGTCTTTATATTGGTCTCAGAGGTCATAAAAGTTAGTTGAAAAAATAAAATATTAAAAAAATAAAAGAAAAAAGTAGAAAAAACAAAATAAACTATTACCGGGTGACCGGCAGTCGGCGATGTTGCGTATACGGTTCAATTTCTGTCAACTTCACGCTTCCATATCTCCATAAGTATTGATCGCAAAAATTTTTTTTGGCCTATAATACTCACAAAAAACTCTATCATTTCATAAGAAAAATCATTTTTTTTTTTTCGAATATTTTTCGACCCTGAGAACAAGTTTGGGAGAGGGCCTTTCGACCCTGAAAAGGTTAAGTTTTGGCCTAGATATAAGTGAATGAGTCTGCATGGTGAATGTGCAGTGTAAAAAAAAAAAAAAAATCTACCCCACTTTCCCTCCACTAGGTTTACAAGCCCTCCTCCTGCTGGTGCTGCTATCTGTAAATATCACTACCGATGCTGCTATCTGTAAATATTACTACTGCTGCTGCTATCTGTAAATATTACTACTGCTGCTACTATCTGTAAATATTACTACTGCTGCTATCAAGTTATTCTATTTTCTTCTATCCTCTCTAAAAATCTGAACCACATCAACAACCCTTCTTCAACCCTCTGGATAATACTTTAACCCTTAAAAGGTCCAAACGTATATATACATTCTTACGCGTAGCTCCCCAAATGTATATATACATTTTATTTTTCCTGCCTTCAAATTTGGCATGATTGGCCTGAGATGCCTTGTCAGCATAGAATGGTTCCTAACACTCAGTGTGTGCAGTATTAAAAAAAATCTGGGACCACTTAGTACCTTGTGGGAGCACCAGTTAAATTGAGCGCCAGCTAGAGCAAACAGTGCAGCAAACACCAAGGATTCATTGATGTAATGTCATATTAACACTCCTCTTTTAAGAGGAAAGTGATGTTAACCCCAAGTTTAGGGTTTATCTCAGTCAGTCTATCTCTGTATCCCTGTCTATCTCTATTTCTATCTCTGTCTTCCTCTGTCTGTCTATCTCTTTCTTCCTCTGTCTATCTGTCTACCTCTGTCTATCTGTGTCTGTCTTTGTCTGTCTCTGTATCTGTCTGTCTGTCTATCTCTGTCTCACAGGTACACATAAATACAAGTATACATAGTGTAAGTTACCTAGGATAACCCAAAAAATCCAGACAAAGTGCTATACTCTGCTTGAAGATGTGAGTAAACGTGATGACGATGCAGTCTTGTGACTCTGAGACAGAGAGCTAGATGGATAGACAGATAGACAGGAAGCTTGACAGACAGACAAATAGACAGACATGTTCGTGTACCAGCGAAAACAAAGTGCAGGCAATGCTCATTAAATATCACCTCTAATCTTTTCTTATCAGCTGCACCCTCCCCCACCCTTCTGTATGCTCATCAAATGTCAGCTCATATCAGATGTTATCTCATCTTATCATGTCACTGTCAAGGGTGGACTTTGTTTTTCATGCTTCAAGGGAACTTATAATTTTTTTTTTTTTTTTTTTTTTTTTTTTTTTCAACAAGTCGGCCGTCTCCCACCGAGGCAGGGTAACCCAAAAAAGAAAGAAAATCCCCAAAAAGAAAATACTTTCATCATCATTCAACACTTTCACCACACTCGCACATTATCACTGTTTTTGCAGAGGTGCTCAGAATACAACAGTCTAGAAGCATAAACATATAAAGATACACAACATATCCCTCCAAACTATTATTATTATTATTATTATTATTACATATTATTCTTCTCCTTCTCCTCCTCCTCCTCTTCCTATTCCTCCTTCTCCTCTTCCTCCTCATTCTCCTCTTCCTCCTCCTCCTCCTCTTCCTCCTCCTCCTCTTCCTCATTGTTATTATATACTTCCACATATCCAAAACATTGCTGGGACATATAAATACTTTGTATATATTCCAAGACAATAGTAAACGCTAAAGCAGGTGTAAATGTCCACCTGCCAGTGTGTCTGTGACAATTGGAGTAAAATTTCAGTACCTAATACTAGTGTCAGAACAAAGATTGGTTATAAAATGACAAGAACTACTACAAATTGTAATTATCAGAACATAAAAATTACATAAAATAATATGAAAAATAGTAAAAAGGTATATCGGCAACACTTCTGCAAGCGGCAGGACTCGATGCTGCTGTCACATGAGCATCCAGTGCCAACTTCTCGGCCTCATATTTCAGTAAGTACTGACCCTATTTTCTTTTTATTCTAAAACACGTCAAAAAATGCATTCTTTTTTTCTATAAAAAAAAAAAAGATTTTTTTTTTCAAAATATTCGGGGCGCTGCGCGAGTGAACGTATATATACGTTTGGACTGTTTAACCCTTTCAGGGTCGACAGGCCCTGTCAGAGACTTGTTCTCAGGGTCGGCCAAATTTCAAAAAAAAAAAAAAAAAAAAAAAAAAAAAAAAAAAAAAAAAAAAAAAAAAAAAAAAAAAATTCTTATGAAAAAATAATTTTTTTTTCTAAACATTATAGGCTAAACAAAATTTTTTTACCATCAATATTTACCGAGATATGGAGGCGTGAAGTTTACCAAAAATGCGCATCATGTGGTAACATCGCCAACTGCCGTCACCCGGTATTTTTTTATTTAGTGTTTTATGTACTATTTTCTATTATTTTTAAATTTTTATTTTTCCAAGTAACTTTTATGGCCTGTGAGACCAATATGATCAGTATTTTGTAAGTTATTTCTTTTTCAATATGACAGGATGGATAATGAGAACCTTCAAAACTAGGGAGGCCAAGCCCATGATGACACTCTTCAGGTCACTTGTTCTATCTAGGCTGGAATATTGCTGCACACTAACAGCACCTTTCAAGGCAGGTGAAATTGCCGACCTAGAAAATGTACAGAGAACTTTCACGGCGCGCATAACGGAGATAAAACACCTCAATTATTGGGAGCGCTTGAGGTTCCTAAACCTGTATTCCCTGGAACGCAGGAGGGAGAGATACATGATTATATACACCTGGAAAATCCTAGAGGGATTTAGTACTGAACTTGCACACGAAAATCAACCCACTCGAAAGCAAAAGACTTGGCAGACGATGCACCATCCCCCAATGAAAAAGCAGGGGTGTCACTACCAGCAGTTAAGAGACCTTTACAATAAGTGTCAGGGGCCCCGAGACTGTTCAACTGCCTCCCAGCACACATAAGGGGGATTACCAACAGACCCCTGGCAGTCTTCAAGCTGGCACTGGACAAGCACCTAAAGTCAGTTCCGGATCAGCCGGGCTGTGGCCGTATGTTGGTTTGAGTTTCTGCAGCAGCAGCAAACAGCCTGTTGTCAGGCTCTGATCCACAGGAGGCCTGGTCTCAGACCGGGCCGCGGGGGCGTTGACCCCCGGAACTCTCTCCAGGTAAACTCCAGGTAATAACGGTATAAACAGTGTTGTCATTGTTTTGTTTACAGAAAATATTTACACAAACAAATGATATGAAATGTTGTTTATTGCTATTTTTCTATATTTTATATACACATATACAGTCACAGGGAATGTTTCTAGAAGTTCTGCAGCCTGTAGAAGTCCTTGAAACATGGTGTCATGCACAGTGGTGTTTTACACTTCTCACACATAAAACGAGTGTCTCTGCGTTGTTGTGGGCGTTTTTTTGTATGTGCACAGACGTAACACCTCTTCTGAGCCTTTTTCTTGAAAGCAGTAGCAGGCAGTTTTACCAGGAAGTGATCACCATGCTTCAGACGAGAAGGAAGTTGTTGAAAATTTGGTGGGCGGTCTATTGCAGGTGTTGTTCCTTGGTACTTGAATACTATTGGTCTGATGACAGACAAACAGAATTCACCGTATGGTGGTTTATTTCTGGTTCTCATCTTATACATATTATAAGCATTCAGCATGGAAATGTCCAGAAGATGGAAAAAGAGTTTTATGTACCACTTATAACTCTTGCAAACACAATCAGCAAACCCAATCTGCATGTTACATTTGTCCACTGAACGCGTATTGAGGGTGTAGTCCATCACAGCTGCAGGTTTTAGAATGGGTTCATTGCTATCTCTATGCTGCCTGCCAGTGTCTGCCATTTCATTAGGGTGAACTGATGACAACAGTGTGACATCTCGTTTGTCATGCCACTGAAATGCCATGATGTCACTGGCAGCAAACGCCTGCACCTCACCTCTACGAGTGCCAGCGTCAAACCTGGGCATATGTTTCTGATTTGCACACACTGTGCCACACACATCTGTCATGTTCACTCGCAAAAAATCACTGAGTGTGGGGCTTGTGTACCAGTTCTCTGTATATATGCCCCTTACCAAGGTATGGTTCTATCATTATTCTAACCACATCACCCGAGATGCCCAATAACTTCCTGGTATTTTGCAATGTATAACTTCCATTGTACACAATAATATCCAATACCAGATCATGTAACAATTTACAAAGCACAAACAACTTTATACCAAAGCGTTTCCTCTTGCTTGGTATGTACTACTTGAAAGAGAGTCTTCCTTTGAACAGAATCAAAGACTCGCCAATTACAAGCTTCCTGAAGGGATAAAAATACATATAGAATTTCTCTTTCAGATACACAAACACATGCCTAATCTTATATAACCTGTCGTTTCTGTCAGGCCTGGTTTTGTCTGAGAAGTGAAGCATACGTAACATTAGCACAAATCGATTCACTGGCATTATATCACTGAAACCTAGGGTTGCAATCAGGCGGTCTGTTGACCAGTATGATTTCACTTTGTGCTTATACACATGTGGCATAAGCATTATTGTGGCAAAGAAAAGATTCATCTCAGCCACAGTTGTCTCCTTCCACTGGTGTAGACGTGATTTTGGTGAAAGTATTGTGCTTGCCATGGTGTACTCATAGGATGTGTTGCTTTCCATGACAATACTTTCCATCAAGGATTGGTCAAAGAATAACTCGAAACATTCCAGTTCACAGGCATTGTTTTCCAGTGTACAACATGACCGTATTCCACTTTGGCTGTCATCAAACTGGTGGGGATTTGGAACAAAATTGACAGCTTCCTGCCAATCCCAGGTGCGGTCTGCTGGTGGGTACTGGACAATGACAGGTGGTTGTGGTTGTGGAGGTTGTGGTTGTGGAGGTTGTGGTTGTGGAGGCTGGTGTGGTGGGTGGGTGGGGGATGGTGGCCTTTGTTGTAGATCAGCTGAGGCAGCGGCGTGGGAGGCAGCGTGGGTGGCAGCATGGGCCACTGCTGGTGCCTCACGGCCGGCACCACCACTACCACCACCATGCACATTTTCCATCCCAATTGCAACAGTATCATCGTCATTTTCACTGTCAGTTCCTGTTGTACAGCCACGGGATGTACTCCGAGATGTGCTCCTTCACCTTGGAATAGCATATGGCACACTACCAGAGCGTATAAACCATACCCCCAGCCGGGATTGAACCCGCGGTCATAGAGTCTCAAAACTCCAGCCCGTCGCGTTAGCCACTAGACCAGCTAGCCACAATAAGATTCATCCAACTAGGTATATTTCTACACCATAGGAAGGTTAGCACAGGCACCACTGTGACCACAAATGCAAGTTTTTACAGACGAATCTCCAGCTAGTGTGGCTGTGACGAACTCTAGCTCAAGTCCCTTCACTGCCGTCAACATGACTCGAGAAATCGTAATGACACGATTGCAAACAAACCATACCCCCGGCCGGGATTGAACCCGCGGTCATAGATTCTCAAAACTCCAGCCCGTCGCATCGGGGGTATGGTTTGTTTGCAATCGTGTCATTGTCTCATGTCTTTGTCTCTACTGATGCCTCAATGCACCACTTGAATATTTCCCCTCATGAATTCTACGGTTCACCTCATCTTTCATGAACACATCTGCTGATATTCACTTCCTCTCTCCAATCTGATATCCAGTCTTTTAACCCTTTGACTGTCGCAAGCCCTTTTCTGAAACTGTCATTTTATGTCGCAAAATTTTCTGGAAAAAAAAAAAAAAAAAAATCTTATGAAATGACAGAGAATCTTTTCCCGATGGTAATGACACCAAAAGTACGAACTTTGGTCGAAAACTCATGGAATTACGCTCCCGTGAAGTTAGCAGTCTCGGCAATACATATGCATCAACAATTTTGCCGACTTTGAGCCTTGTTTTTGACCAGTTCCATTGTTCCAGTTGACCAGACTCATAGCTATTTCATTAGAACTCCATTTTTTCTATCAGTTGAGTACAAGAAACCACCCATTTACCAATTTGAACTACCCAATAAAGTGGTCAGAAATTGGCAATTTGGCCAATTTTGTGTAAAAAAATACAAAATTTACTGTTATGCAGACTACTGCATTATTATAAAAATGGTATAAATAATATCAGTGCACTAGTGAAAGAATATCAGACTCCCCAGTTGACGTGTATTGGACGTGTGGTGTGATTTGCTTACTCTTGAACATTGGTAAAAATCAAACATTTCCGCTACTTTGAGCTCAATTTCAAGGTCGTTTTCATCAAGAAAATAATCAAAATCATCTCTATTTCTGTAATATGTTTTCCATTTTATCACGTGAGACCATGAAAACGAGAATACAACGATAAATACTATACGAAAATACACCTCAAAGTAGGGGTTTTAATCCAAAAAAAAAGGTCAGTTTTTTATTTCTCATTATGCACTGCGTGCTGCAGGATTTTTTTTATGTGGTGCACACTGACCACACAGACCCATTCTCTCACATGTGGGCCTACCAGCTTTCTCCTGCTTGATTTGAAGCCGCTAGAATTTACGCGTTTAAATGTCTGAAACAGTGGCGCGTAAGACGTATATATACGACCGTAACAGTAAAGGGTTAATACCTAAACTTTTTGTTACCCTCATCACCTTTCTCTTTCCTATGCTCACTTTTAATTTCCTTCTTTTGTATACCCTCACAAATTCATCTACCAACCTTTGCAGCTTCTCTTCAGAATCTCCCAAGAGCACTGTGTCATTGGCAAAAAGCAACCATGACAACTTCCACTTTGTATTGGATCTTTTTATATTCCAATTCCAAAACTCTCCCCAGCACTAGCATTCACTTCTCTTACAAACCCTTATATAAATATATTAAACAACCATGCTGACATCATATATTCCTGTCTAAGGCCTACTTTTACTGGAAAATAATCTCCCTCTTCTACATGCCCTAACCTGAGCCTCATTATCCTCATGCACTTCCAACATTTGCCACATTACAACCCTATCCACTCTTTCATATACCTTTTTCAAATCCATAAATACAACAAAAACTTCCTTACCCTCATCTAAATACTGTTCACTTATATGCTTCATATGGTCTATATATCCCCTACCCTTCCTAAAGCCTCCTTGTTCATCTGCAATCCTGCTCTCCTTCTTACTCTTAATTCTTTCAATAATAGCTACCATACACCTTACCAGGGATATTCAACAGGCTTATTCCCCTATAATTCTTACACTCTTTTGTACCCTTTGCTTTTATACAAAGGAACTATGCACAATCTTTGCCTATCCCTAGGTACCTTTCCCTGTTTCATACCTTTATTGAATAAAAGCACCAACCACTCCAAAATTATATCACCATCTGCTTTTAACATATCTATCTTGATGTGGCATTAGACTGCAGTACTAATCCATGAACAGTATAAAAATACATTAATAAAAATATTATTACACAAATTTATTACTTTCATTAGAATGGGTTTTATATAATTGTCAAAATCCAGAACTTGGGTGATAGTAACTCTCACCTTGCCAGTTGACATCTCTATAACAACACACCCCACAGACCAAACATCTGCTGCTCGACCATGGCCTTCACTTGACTGGAAAATTTCAGGAGCCATGTAAGCTGCAAAAGTAGAAAAATATACCTTTCACCATACTCGGACAAAGAGTGAAGAACAAAAAGGCATAATACCGTGACTGGAACAATACACAAATAACACACACATAAGAGAGAGGTGCTTTCAATGATGTTTTGGTCCGACTTGAACCATTTACAGTTATGCTGTGACTATGTAAATGATCCAAGCCAGACCAAAATGTTGCTACTTTCTCCTATATGCAGGTCATTTGTGTACAAAGCCTGAAGTGTTGTATTAAGATGAATAAACAGATTGAAATTAAAAATTTACTATTTTGAATTCAAAATGCTTAGGTAGTAGGTTGGTTGACAGCAACCACCCAGGGAGGTACAGGTTGACCATTACTAATCTGGCATCATTGGGACATGTAGGGTGCCAGATCAGTGACTTTGCCAGATTACAGTGTGGTTAGCTTAAAATACACTTAACCCAATGGCGATATTTACACATTGGCAATTTCACCCAATTTACACCCCATTTTTGGCCCATTCCATTGCTCCAGTTGACCAAACTCATAGCTATTTCACTAGCATTCCTTCTTTCTGCCGACTGAGTACGTACAAGAAACCGCCCATTTACCTATTTTAACTATCAATAAAGTGGTCAGAAATCTGTATTTTGGCCAATTTTACACAAATTTCAAGAGATGCCAATTTCAAAATAGGGTCCAGAATAAACAATGCAGACATTCCTGGTACTAAACTAGCATTTTCTCTGTACATTAGTCACATCTCCAGGCCCTCTTATATTATGCTTGTGTTCCATTTTGAATTTTTATTCACACAAAAAATAGAAGATTTACTGTTATGCACACTACTGCAGTATTGTAATAACTGTATAATGTCAACCCATTTATGACGACATATTAGATCGGCCAGTTGGACACGTACTGGATGGTGACGTCATATGTTTACTCTTAAACATCGGCAAAAATCAAACATTTCTGGTACTTTGAGCTCAATTTCAAGAAACTTTCCTTCCTGAAATCAATCAAAATCATCTCTGTTTCTGTAATATATCTTCCATTCTATCAAAAGAAACCAGAAAACTGAGAATACAACCATAAAAACCATATGAAAATACACCACAAAGTCGCTGTTTTACATTAAAAACACGGTCACAGATTTTTCTCGTGCACTGTGTGCTGTAGGATTTTTTTTATATAGTGCACACTTACCACACAGACTTATTATCTAATATGTATGCCCAAATTTACTGGTCACAGCTTATCTGAGTGAGCTGAACTCATAGTGTCATACTACAGGGCAACAGTGGCTTCAAAGCCACCTTAGCTTTTATGGACAATGTACAGTGTTTACGCTTTACACAATGAGAAGCATTTCCTTTATTTGTTGGAACCATGGCTAGGGCAAAAAGTGAGTAAGTTATAACAATAAATGGAGAAAAACAAATTGGAATGACTTATGCAGCAGGTAGTGCCACCAAACAGTAGAGGCAGGTTGGTGCAGTGACCCCAGAAATTTGAAATTACTCTAGCCAAAATTAGTGCTGGATTACTGATGAAACAAGATTAGAGATGGCCACGCTGTACTACCATCCTGCCAAATGAGTGTGAAATGTAATTGTTTTGATGATGATAGGACTGCCGGTGTCTTTCTGTCTCATTTGATGATGATAGGATTGCCGGTGTCTTTCTGTCTCATTAACACATGGGATAAAAGGTATATCTTGCTACTTATATTTACACTTAATTCACCCTACACATGCATGTACATGTGCATCATACATATATTTTTTCAACAAGTTGGCCGTCTCCCACCGAGGCAAGGTGACCCAAAAAGAACGAAAATCCCCAAAAAGAAAGAAAATCCATAAAAAGAAAGAAAATCCCCAAAAAGAAAGAAAATCCCCAAAAAGAAAGAAAATCCCCAAAAAGAAAGAAAATCCCCAAAAAGAAAATAATGTCATCATCATTCAACACTTTCACCTCACTCGTACATAATCACTGTCTATGCAGAGGTGCTCAGATACGACAGTTCAGAAGTCCCTCCAAACTGTCAGTATCCCAAACCCCTCCTGTAAAGTGCAGGCATTGTACAGTGGAACCTCTACTTGCAAGTTTAATCTGCTCCATGACCTTGCTCGCAACTGGATTTGCTCATTTGCAGAGTCAATTTTCCTCATTTAAATTAAATGAAATGCAATTAATCCATTCCAGTGGAATTCTGTACTTCAATAATTTCGCTACTATCAACTCTATGGCTATTTATCTACCTCGCTTCATCTTATATGACATAATAAACAATATAAATAACATAGAAACCTGATTTATACTCTAAAATTAATAAAATATGTAATTCACGTAGTGGTATGGGCAGTGTCGGCAGTGGACGAGAGTTCGTCTGGAGACCGGACAAAATACTTCTTGAATAATTTCGCTAATATCATCTATATGGCTTATTTATCTATCACAGTTCATCTAGTATGACATAACAAACAATATAAATAACATAGAAACCTGATATATACTCTAGAAAGAATAAAATGTCATTATATATGTGACGGCGGCGGCTGACGAGTTTGTCTGGAGACAGGACAAAATAATCCTTGAATTTTCGCTATCATCATTTCTACTGCTTATTTATCTATTACAGTTCATCTAATATGACACAACAAATAATATAAATAACATAGAAACCTGATATATACTCCAGAATGAATAAAATATGCCATTATACATGTGGCGGTGGCGGCCGACGAGGGTTTGTCTGGAGACAGGACAAAATACTCTTTGAATATTTCGCTATCATCAACTCTACGGCTTATTTATCTATCACAGTTCATCTAATATGAAATAATAAACAATATAAATAACATAGAAACTTGATATATACTCTAGAATGAATAAAATATGTCATTATGTAACAGGTGGAGGTGGCCACAACCGCTCCCTCTTTGTTGTGGTAAACATTGCCATTTAGTGACGGCCTTTTGAAGCTGTCTATTATAATTATTATTATGTAGTACATTACGTATTATTATATATGTATTACTAGTATTATACGTATATTATTATTATTATTGTACTATATTACACTACTATTATTATCATACGTATTATTATACATATTATTATTATTACAATGTAAATATTTTGAAATTTTATTTACACAAGAAATATAAGATTTACTGTTATGCCTTATTGCAATAATTGTATAAATAATGTCAACCCATTCACGACTGCATACTGGAATGGACAGTGATGTCACTTGTTTACTCTTGAACATAGCCAAGCAATGGAACATTTCTCCTACGTTGAGCTAAATTTCAAGGTGCTTTTCGTTGTGAAAGCAATCAAAATCATATCTATTTCTGTAATATATCTTCCATTCTATCAAATCAGACCAAAAAAATGAGAATACAACCATAAAAACCATACGAAAATACCGCTAAGGGGTGGCTAATTGCTGAGAATGAACTCCATTATTTATGCTCCGATTTCTTTTATTTTTGGTATAAGTTAAGAAACATCTTTCCATCATACATTGCCCAAGTTTCAATAAGATAGTCCAAGAAACAAATGAGATACAATTCCCTATATCAAGAGCAAGAGCCCCTCACCAGCATCAAGGAACCTGCCTTGAGGTCTGCTCGCTTATGGAAATTTTGCTCGCCTATTACAACCCAGGACTCCAAAGGCCTGTTATCCTGGGTGTAAAGGGAGCAAAATAAACACAGCAGAAAAACTTCACCAATTAAGAACAGAATTATGTACACTATATACACTATGTACAACAATAGGTATTAGTGCACTCCACGGTAAGCAAGGCAGAATAGAAGCCACTAGAGAGCAGACCGTGCTTCAAGCAACTCGAAAATGGGAATGACAAGGGCAGACAGGTGTGTGGTACCCACAATACCTCTGCGATTGCCAAAGCCATCTTCTTATTGGCTGGAACTTGGGTAGTGATTGAACAATGGGGCCCCATCACCAACCCTTAGCACCTGGTTCGCTGGTTGGGGGAGATAGCCTTTCAATGAGGGTGTGTACATGCGCCGAATAAAGGTTATGTACTCTTTGCATGCCACAAGTATGGAAGCAAAAAATCGACCCATCGACTGCTCGTATTTGTGAAAACTCGCATGTGGATAAGCTCGCAAGTAGAGGTTCCAATGTACTTCCCATTTCCAGGACTCAAGTCTGACTAACTGGTTTCCCTAAATCCCTTCACTAAATATTACCCTCCTCACATTCCAACAGTTCATCAGGTCCCAAAATTATTCATCTCAATTCACTCATATCTACCATGCGCACACACGCTTGCTGGAAGTCCAAGCCCCTCACCCAAAAGACTTCCTTTACCCCGTCCCTCCAGCCTTTTCGACAATGACCCCTACCCCTCCTTCCTTCCCCTATAGATTTATAAGCTCTCCAAGTCTTTCTACTTTGATCCATTCTCTATGAATGTCCAAACCACCTCAACAACCCCTCTTCAGCCCTCAAATACTTATAGTAACTCCACACCTTCTCTTAATTTCCACACTCATAATTCTCTGCATAATATTTACACCACACATTGCCCGTAGACAGGACATCTCCACTGCCTCCATCCACCTCCTCATTGCAGCATTTACAACCCAAGCTTCACAACCATATAAGAGTGTTGGTACCACTATACTTTAATACATTCCCTTCTTTGCCTTCATAGATAACTTTTTTTTATTTCCACAGATACCTCAAAGCACCACTCACCAATATTCCTTCATCAATTCTATGGTTAACCTCACCTTTCATTAACCCATTCACTGACAAGTCAACTCCCAAATATCTGAAAACATTCACTTCTTCCATACTCCCTCTCTCTAATGTGATAACCAATTTGTCTTTATCTAAATCATTTGATACGCTAATCACCTTACTCTTATCTATGTTCACTTCCAGCTTTCTACTTTTACACACCCTCCCAAACACGTCCACTAACCTTTCCAACTTTTCTTTAGAACCTCCCATAAGCATAGAATC